GTCTTCTGAGATCACACCCATATTGCTTATTAAGATTTTTGTCCTATCTTTCAGGGCTTCTCCAAGCATCTCTGAACTCTGACAAACCAATGCCAAAAGTTTCTGAACCAAATTGTCATAGATAAACACAGCAGCTACCTGACTTCTGAGTATCAATTTTCTGTGTTAGTTTTCCGCTGCTGTGACAAATCTCTGAGAAAAAACAACTTATAGGGGAAAAAAATATTTGCCTCAAGGTTTCAAAACTTTCAGTTCATGACTGGCTGGCTTCATTGTTTTGGGACCTGCGATGAGGCAGTTTATCATGGTGGAAGGCAGGGGTGGAACACAGCTTGTCACCTTATGGTAGGTGGAAGCAGATATAGCAGGATCTAATGAAGACAGGGTTAGGCAGAAGATAATGTCATCAAGTTTCTGCTTCTGGTTTTCAAGAAAGCTCCATCTCCTAAGTTTCCACCACTTCCTAATAATGCTTTCATGTAATTAACCCACTAACGATGTTATAACCCTCATGGCTCAATCACCTTCCAAAAGCTCATCAGCTGATAACCAAGACCCCAGTACATGTTTAGGAATGTTTTTTATTAAAACCAAAAATGTACTGAATAAATTTTAACTTTCTAAAATTTCTTCTTATTTTTCAATGATGTGGAACTTCCTTTCAGGATGTCTCTATTTAGATCTACTGCACCTGTTTGTAATTCTCTTTGATCTAATTCAAGGACCTGCTCTATATGCCGCAAAAAGTAATGAATCTTATTTAAACAGCATTTTAAATCACGATACGAGTCATATGCATGCAGAAAGAAGCAAAGTTTTGGGATGGAAAAGACCCCAGTGATTGTGTAGGATCATTTTGAATGTGTGTAGTGTGCTGAAATATTCTATTCTTTGACACTGGACTTACATGGTGCTCATTTCTATAATTAATTGAATGCTGTGTTCATATCTGTGCGACTTTCTATGCATGTACTATAATTGACAATATTCTTTGTTACTTTACTGTCATTCAACTATCACATACATGTAACTGTCTTTTTCCCATTCAATATGTTGCATCTGACATCATTTCCTTGCTCCCATGTTTATGTATGAGATCTGGATATTAATATTCTATGAGTCATATGCAATATTTAGTATTTTTAGAACTAATTTTCAAACATCTCCTGGATGTTAAACTATATCTTGAAAAGTAGGAAAAATAAATTGAACTGATATTCCCAAATACTCATTTAACTCATAGTAAACAGGAGTCTCCCCAAATGTCCATGATTTAATCCAACGAACCTGTGACTGTGCTTTGTTACAGGGAGAATCAGGTTGCACATGACATCAAACTTCCTAAAATATTGGCATTAAGTCAGAGATGTTAACCCATATTACCCAGATTGGCCCACTGTATTCACAAAGGCTTCTTAGAGAGGGGAGAGGGAGGCAAAAGAGGAACTAAGAGCAAGAGACACTCTTAAAGAGGTTGACTTGGAAGGTGGAAGAAATGCCACAAGGAAGCAGAGAGCTGGAAGATTTAAGGAACGAGGTTTTCGCTAGAAAGGATTTAGAAAGAATGAGGAATTCCAATACCATGATTTTGCCCTAATGAGACCAATTTAGATTTCTGACCTCTGGAACTGCAAGGAACAAAATCTGTATTGATTTAAGCCACTAAGTTTGTAGTGATTTGTTGCTGCATCAGTGGGAAAATATTATAGGAATTTAACCATGGTTGAGAACTTCCAGAAGCCTGAGTACATTTCTCCTCCTGCCCAGCTCTGTATGTTGGATCCATTTCCTCTGACAACCATAGGCAGTGGGAGGATGAGCAAGATCTTTGATACTTTGAACGCTGTATGAAAAAAGGAGAAGATAATATCAAGTTAGGAAGGGAAAAATAAAAATGCAAGGGTGAATGGGTAGGCAACAATCAGAACAGGACATGAAAAAGCTAGGAAATATGTGGTCAGGAATATACAGTCAGATCTCCATTCCTGCTTGCTTCTGCTCATGAGCAGTTATGTTGGTAAACAGAAGCTTTGGCAAAATTTTGCTTCCATCTACAAACTCTATATTGGATAATGCACCAAGGAACACACACAAACTCGGATATCTTCTCCAGACTCGTGGAACGAATTGAATTCGTGAATCGAGGCACCACTGTACCTTTTGCAATCCAGAAGCAAAAGTGTTAAAGCTAAGATCACTTCTTATCCAAAACATAGTCCAGAAATGAACCTCATCCCATCCTTTTGCTACAGAAATTGGCACAGCCTCAATTAACTTGAAAAGCGCAAGCTCCCAATTGCATAACTGAATCCATCCTATTCCAGCACATTCAAAAGAGGAGAAAAATTAAGTTCAGCAAATAACGTGAAAATAGATATTTTAATATCTAATATTAGATACATGTATTTAACATGTATATATATTGGAGTACATCAGTTCAAGGAAAAAATTATGAAATCATAAAATAAATAATTCCCTCTGCTAAACTGTTTCGGGTTAGGATTATGATCTTGGAATTGATTGTCTTAAATGCATGTTTTTATTTAATAATGCTTTTTTAAACTGAGCAAACATTTAAAATAAAAGTTTATTGTCAGGTCTGTGATGTGGTGTTGATTGTGGAGGAAGACTCTGGGGAACAACTTTCCCCAGAGTCATTAACTGGCTGCTTCATTCTCTTTAGGTAACCTGCATAAGAAGGAGGGAAAAAGAGCATTTCTTACCCCAGGTATGGTGCAGCAGCCGAATTCAGTTGATAAGAGAACTAAGGGACAAGCAAGACTGATTTCCACCAGCTTTTGAGGTAAGGGTTTAGAGATTTTCTGGTGGAAATTAGTCACCAAGCAACTCCACAGATATCAATATTAATTATTTTGGATACCTATGCCTACATTATCTAAGGAGGAGATGGAAAAATAAAGCTCTGAAAGATATTGGTGAGTTTTATTTGTCTTTTAAAATTAACACAGAACGCTTGGAGACAAAGAAGAATTCCACTGAAATGGTAAATTTTGTATACTTGTAATAGAATTGCTATATATTGTTTCTAAAGAAAGGCCAGGTGGAATTATGGTGATAAGAGAAAGTGTTTCTATATGTGAATGTGAGATAAGGTGGTGTACATCTGAATAAGACAGTACCAACTATTTCAAAGGATAACTACATACAACACCCCATTATTCTGAAATGCCCAGGAAGGGCGGGAAGGGAGTTTTGAGTTGTGTTTTGGTTTAAGGATAAATGAGTTTCCACTGGGGCCTTGTGTTTTGGACAGGAGGGGAATCATTCGCAGACTTGTGTGTAAATGTCCAGTTCTAGAAAAGATCTGAGCAATATGCATATAGTTGCTAAAGACCTCTATGGTTTGCATTCCCTTTGCTGATGGGATCTCTCAGTAGAGAAATATATTTTGTGTCAGTAGCAAAAGCAAAGGAGAAAAGGCACATAAAAGCAGGAGCGTGTGCTTGATTCTGAAACTGAATTGCATTATAGCATTATTCTACAATGCACAAGAACAGGAAGACCGGGAGTGACTTCTGTATCAGCTCTAATACACAGCTCCGATGAAACCCAGTTTCCCCAGAGCTGGAAGTGCAGGCCACAATGCTGCTGAAAAGGCATAGCGGACAGGTCAGTAGCAGCAAGCTCTGAGCTCAACAGATCTTTAGGGAATGTGTTCTCTAGTGGACTACTTGTAGCCCAGATCAATCATTGTATTCTGCCTCATTTGAGAACCTTGAAATCTTTTAATCACAACCACTCCACATACACTTTTCTCCTAAAGCATTCCCATAGAGTGGCTAAAATTCCACTGAAGATGAAATATTTTAACTCTCTTACACTCACTGTAATCATCATTTAGCAAGACTCTCTTCTTGAAATATTGAATTCATCCAAACTGAGGGGCCTAACATAGCCAAAAGTTAGAAATATGGAATGCATGAAAAAATGTTTACATCAAAAGGGAGAGGTTTTTAAAACTTTTTTATTTCTTTGCCTTTGTTTCAGTTAATAAATAAATACTTAACTCCAAGTCAAATTAATTCTTGAGGAACCCTAAAGTCATCTGAATCTGTGGATGGAGAAATTGCCCAATTTCACTTTCTTTCATTTAAATCAAACAAGGCTAATTTTATTTGTGTTATTTTAAAAAGTTGCTTCATATTTTCTTATTTGTGCTTCCATATCAGATGAGTTTTGTCCATTTTATACTTATAGAAGTGATTAATTTTCATGACAGAGGTAACTATTAATAGGACAAAATGATAGTGAAATTGAAATGCCATCCTTTCACAAATGACAGGACCTGCATGAAGTTAAACAATTTTCTTAAATTAAAGCATAATAATTTCAGAATCAGGTTTATGTAAATTTGGCCCTTTTTCTACTACACTCTGCCTCATCTTGATTGCAGTGTGACCAGCTGAGGAGCTACACCTTTGTTTGCCCAAGATCCAAGTTTGCTAAGTAAGAGAACCTCCAGAGATTCCCTAGCCTAGACTATTGAGGACTGGCACATGTGGTCACCAGCGATGGTAGTATTCAGATGGGAGAATGTGACATGTGTTTCCAATTCTGCACCAAAAATAAAGCAGACATTCCTGGGTGTATAAACATTTCCATATTCCCACACACAGAAATTGACTCAAAGTTAAGCAGAGTGCCTCATAGAAAACACAAATGAAGTAAATTTAGAAACAGAAGAATAAACCTTAAAACATAATAGTGGAGAAACATTTTAAAACACATGAGACTTGAGGGATTTTCTTTATCTCTCTGGACTTTGCTTCCTTATCTGAAGTGAAAAAATAGATGTAATATTGAAGCAACAGGATCAAAATAGATGTAGCATACATTTTTAAGTATGCCTATAAATGAATAGTAAGAACACATTTTCCTAGTTCCATCTACTGTAAATATTTATTTATTCCTGAATCAGAACTAAATGATAACAGCCTTTTTCATCTATCCTTCAGGTAATTTCATTGTCCCTTGGGAGCATGGCCTCATGGACTCATCCCATGGAAAAATTAAACAACGTAACTGAATTCATTTTCTGGGGTCTTTCTCAGAACCCAGAGATTGAAGAAATTTGCTTTGTGATATTTTTATTTTTCTACCTGGTCATTCTCCTGGGAAACTTCCTTATCATGGTGACAGTTTGCCAAGGAAACCTGTTTAAGACTCCTATGTATTTCTTCCTCAACTTCTTGTCTTTTGTGGACATTTGTTACTCTTCAGTTACAGCACCCAAGATGATCATGGACCTGTTAGCAAAGAACAAATCTATCTCTTATGCGGGGTGTATGTTGCAAGTCTTTGGGGTACACTTCTTTGGGTGCACTGAGATCTTCATCCTCACTGTCATGGCCTATGATCGATACGTGGCCATCTGCAAACCTCTACACTACATGACCATCATGGGCCGGGAGAAATGTAATAAAATGTTGCTGGGGACATGGGTGGGTGGATTTCTACACTCCATTATCCAAGTGGCTCTGGTAGTTCAACTCCCCTTCTGTGGACCCAATGAGATTGATCACTATTTTTGTGATGTTCACCCTGTGCTGAAACTTGCCTGCGCAGATACCTACATTGTCAGCGCTGTTGTGACAGCAAACAGTGGTACCATCGCTCTGGGGAGTTTTGTCATCTTGCTCATCTCCTATAGCATCATCCTGGTGTCCCTGTGGAAGCAGTCGGCAGAAGGCAGACGCAAAGCCCTCTCCACTTGCGGCTCCCACATTGCAGTGGTCATCATCTTTTTTGGTCCGTGTACTTTCATGTACATGCGGCCCGACACCACCTTCTCTGAGGATAAGATGGTGGCCGTGTTCTACACCATCGTCACTCCCATGTTGAATCCCCTCATTTATACCTTGAGAAATGCAGAAGTGAAGAATGCAATGAGAAAGCTGTGGAGCAGGAAGGCTTTCTGGGAGGCCAGTGGCAAATAGCTGAAAGTAATAATTAAGCCTGGAGGATGTCAACATTTTTCACTGTTGTTAATTCTTCTGCACAGTGAGGAAGTAGCAACAACCTCAGTGATTTGGAGGCAGGCAGTTGAGAAAGTCATATATTCTACAGAAGTGAGGTACGATCATTATTATCATAATTATTGTACTCTTTTGTGATCAGATGCTTTCTTGAAATGTATACGACAGAGAAATCATCATCATCACAATCTCAAGCAAGATCATTGTCAGCGTCATTATTCTTTCCTTATCCTTTTACTCTCTCAACATGATATTTAAAAATGAGAGTGTTCTCTGAAGGACTGCAGGCTGTTTCTAGGATTTCAGACTATGATTGGTACCTTGGACACTCAGTGTTTGCATGTGGCATGAATAATATAATACTTGAAAAACACGTCCAAACCAATACACTCTTATGAAAGCTCTGCAAGCACAGGTTGGAATGTGAGTCAAGGTGATTAAGAATGCGAGAGAGGTAGAGCAACCTTAAATACAAAAGATGAGTTTTTACCCCCCATCCTTGAAAAAAAGTTGTACTCACTGTCTTTATACAAACATGAAGACGATGGGATGGACTGATCTGTAAAATGTTCCTTTTATGTATAGGACAGTGAGAACTATGCTCTTGATTTGTAAAGCCACCAGAAGAACAACCCAAAACAGAACAAAATGGGATGGAGATTGATAAAAATAACTTGGTAAATCAGCACCAGGATCCAGAGTGGAAGATTTGCTTTGCACAGCACCACAAAGACATGTGACTCTGACACCCATAATATGGGTCTTGCAAGCATTTATTAAAATACACTTGAATCCATGCCTCTCAGCCATGTGAAGAGGGCCTTGACATTTCTCATATCCTCCTGCATTTCACAGTTCTGTGGGTGTCTGTGTGCATGACTCTGTCTTAATTTTTTTTTCTCCAGAGAAGTAATTACAATGTTCATCAGGTTCTCAGAAGACTCAGACACAAAATGGGCTTATAATGGTTGGGAGACAAAATAGTATCAGTAATATAGCACATGTTCTAGTAACTACTCTACTTACTTTAATTTTCCAAACATAACAAGCCCCTTGTAGGACAGCTACAATGATAAATAACAGTAGTAAACAATGTGTTGGTCTTGGATCCAGTAGAGAGGAGCTGGAAGACATGAAACCCAGCAAAGTTGGAAATAGATGAGTATCCGGTGTCTTCCTCTATACTGCTGTGCTGTCCTTCAGAAGATTTCCCCTTCCAGACTCTCCTCACAGGCCCCAGCCTCCTCAAATCAGTTACACTATGCAGAAAGTCACCACATCCGGAAATATTAGCTAGCTGCCTCAATTTCTGTACCTTGAAAAAGATGAAAGTGAGAAAATCGACCCTGGTTGAACTTCTCACATTATGTAACTACATCTCCCAGGTCCTGCCAACTGGCCAAACACTGAAAAATAGTCTTTGGTAATTCACATTAGGGAAGAAGACACTTAAGAAAAAACTTTTACTAAAATAACTTCATTTGTCCCAATATTTGTGGTACATCTTTCATATAATGGGCTCCATATTCATCGCTTGATATAAGTTTTATCTTTTAATCTACATAACTCTTCCATGAAGGAGGCATTTTAAATAAAACTTCATATAAGAGAAGCTGAAACTCATAGAAGTTGAACAGAGTGCTTTGGTGGTGCATTTAGTAGCTTAATACTGACATCTGTACTGAGGACTGTGTCACAGGTATACTACCTTCAGGTGTGAAAAGTATCTTAGTAGGCTCTGTTTCTCTCTAGCATGAGTTTATTTTCCTTCTATGAGTAGCTGAGAAACTTCCAGGTAACCTCAGTATTTCCATTTTTGGGTATAAGATTTGGGTAGTGTAATTTTCCAAGGATACAAATATAGCTCTTGGGAAGTTGATCAGAAAACTTACCCCCTGGGGTATAAAGATTGAGTTAGGTGTATATTGGCAAATAAATCCAAAGTTAAAATTATGTATGGACTTCTGAGAGAAATCCTCCTTGATTTCTTTGGTAGTTTCTAAGCATACAAGCCCAGGACTCCTGCTTATAATCTTAGCCCAAGTGGAGAAAGCTAATATTGAAAAAAATACTTTTCAGGTAAGCAGAAGGAACCAGTTCTATAATAAATTTTTCATTATTGTATGTTTGCAGTACTACTGATTACATTTATCATGTGGAATTGATACATGTACATAAAACATCTTAATACTTTTTACATTCCCTACTATTACCACCCTTCCTTCTAACTCTTGGACTCTTCCCATTTGCAAAGGCTCCATTCTCATATTTTTCTGCAATTCTTTTTTTTTCATATCCTTTCCCTGTCCTTCCTCTCACACTAAACATTTCTTGTTCCCTCCTCATTTGAAAAAGATATGTCTACTTCAAAATGCCTATATTTGTTCTGCCTGCCCTGGAGGCTGACCATCTTTCCATTTTCTGATGTCTTCTTTGATCTCCTCTTTCAGAGTGATGCAATTTTCACTATAAAGGGCTCTCTTAGTTAGATTAATTTCTAAGTATTTAATTTTTTGATGTTACTGTGAATAGTATTATTATCCAAATTTCTTTCTCAGTGAGTTCATTATAAGTGTACAGGAAGGCACTTGAATTTTGTGTGCTGGTTTTATATTCTGCTACATAGCTGAATTTGATTATTATTTCTAGGAGACTTGGTGGAATTTTTTGAGTATTGTAGGTGCACAATCATTTCCTCTGCAAATAATGAGACTTTGACTTTATTCTTTCATACCTTTATCTCCTTTATTTCATTTCTTTTTAGTTTTTTTAGTTGCTCTGGTTAATGTTTCAAGGACTATGTTGAACAGGAGTGGTAATAGTCAACATCTTTTTTTCCTTATTTTAGAGAAAAACTTTCAGATTTCCCTGATTTTCCATACTGTTGGCAATTGCTTTGTAATAAATGGCTTTTTACCAGATTTAGATAAGCTCCTTCTATATCTATTTTCTTCTAAATCTATTTTCTATTTTATTGTAAATGGATGTTAAATTTTGTCAAAAGCCTTTTCTATGTCTATCAAAAAGATCATGTAATTTTTTTGGGTTTCTGTTTACATGATATATTACTTTGATGGATTTGTATAGTTGAACCATACTTGCATCCATGGTATGAATCCTACTTGGTCATGACATATGATCTTCTTGATGATTTGTATTCTGTTTGCCAGTATCTCATTGAAGAATTTTTTTTTTTTTTTTTTTATCTTTGTTCATTAGAGAGATTGTCCTGTAGTTCTCTGTTTTGGTTAAAACTTTCTCTGATTTTGTGGTCAGGATAAGAATGATTTTTCAAGTATTCCTTCTCTTTCAATTTCATTAGAGTTTGAAGAACATTGGTGTTAGACCTTCTCTGAAGTTCTTGTAGCACTCAACAATTAACTCATGAAGTCCTGTGCATTTCTTAGTTGTTAGGCTTTTTATTACTACTTCAATTTCACTGCCTGTTACTGGATCATTCAGGATTTTTAAGTCTTCTTGGTTCAGTTTTGGTAATTCATGTCTTTAGGAAACTATTGCTTCTGAATCTTCTTATTTATTGGTATTCAGGTTTGTGAAGTAGCTGCTAATAATATTGTGGGATCTGGCAGTGTCTGTTGTGCTTTCAATGTTTTCATTTGTAATTATATTAATTTGTTTCTTTTGTTTCCTTTCTTTTGTTAGATTGGCTATTGATTTGTCTATTTTGCTTATTCTTTTGCAGAACCAGCTCTCTGACTCATGGATTATTTGTATTTATTTTTTGATCTCCATTGCATTGATTTACTATCTCATATTTAAAAATTTCCTTCCTTGTACTAACTCTGGATTTAGATTGCTTGTTTTCCTGGGACCTTAGATGTACCTTTGTGTGACTTATTTGGACTTGCTCTGTTGTTTTGAAAATTAGAGCATTCACATCCACAAAATTACCTCTTCAGACTACTTTTATTGTGTCCCATAATGAGAAGGGAGTGCACATTCTTTTCAGCAGCACGTAGAACTTTATCGTTACAATAAAATTATAAATGTACAATTCACATATTTTCAAACCATTTTATCATTTAAAATTTTACTTTATATTGTTATTTTCTAAAATTACTTAAATAATACAAAAATATAACCTCACTACTTATATCAAAAATAAAATATTGCCAATAATTAAATTCATTTTTACATTTTCTCTATTCTCACTCCTGCAAGAGTAAACACTATCCTGACTTTTTAAGTGTATATAATTATCTTGCCTCTAAAGAGAAAAAATATTTTTGCCCTATGTGTTGATATTTAGTTTCACCAGGTTTTGAATTTTAAGTATTAGTGGAGTATGTAACAACTTTAGGAATGACTTTTTTATTCAAAATTAAACTACTAAATTTTGTAGATTGTTAAATATAGTCATATTCATTTTCACTGCTATAACTCCCCTATTTTATTCTATTATGGGATTATTTTAAAAGGTGATTATTCTTAAAATGCTCAGGGAATATTTGACTGTAATGAACAGTGTATGGTGGACATTTTTGCACATATCTCCCCAAAATGCAACTACTGGATTGCATGATATTCAAATATTTGACTTTATCTAGTGATATATGTTTCTGAAAGAGGTCCAGGACATACAATCTGTGTGCCAAAAGGGTAGAAGCCTGAGATATTTGTGAACTAACATAATATTATCTATCCTGTAAGAAAAGGCTTAAGTTTGTGAATATTTTATTGTTTGTTTGTTTTAATTAGAAACCAACAAATATATAATCCAAAAAATAATCCAGGGTTATATTTTTCAATGTCAATTTTAGTCATTTTTTTCTGAGTCATATTTGAAATAGGATTTCTTTAACACTACAGTACAGCAGACTGATGTCCTGTGACAGAAGGAGAATGTCTTTGAGGTATAAGGATTTTAAAAAATTATTTATTAAATTTTATTAAAATATATGCCTAGAAAGTTAGATTTCATATATTATTATGCTTCTATT